CGATCATGAATCACCAATCACCAAACAAGCAGATAGACACAGCGGAAGACGCACCATAGATCGTTCCTCGGCTCTGATACCATCATAACAGAACTGAAAAATAGAAAAGAAATGGGAAATAGAAAGGAAGAAGTAGAGAGAAAGTCGAAGGAAAAATGAATTGAGAAAGCTTGTATTTCTGAAGGAAATGATACACTTGATTGATTGATTCTTACACCAGTACTTGGCTTATATAGCCGCCACCTACGATTGAAAACTGGGCTCGAAGATGACACGCGAACTTGATTTGTAGTAGGCAGAAACTTGCAGAAAGCCGCCACTAACTGCAGAATTTTGCAGAAAATGGCCATTAACAGTAAGCACAGGCAAAAGAAATCTCTGTCAAAACAGCAAGGAAATTCAAAAAGTGCATTGACCTGCAAACAAAACTATGAAAGGACGGAGGAAAATAGAAAAATATTTCAAAAACGAAAAAGAAAGAAAAAAAGCAAATAATGGAAAAAGAAAAAAAAACGCAAATTTGCACAATTCATATTGATACTAGCCTTCATGCACGCACTCACACGCGTGCAGAGCGTAAATTGATAAAAAGAAAGTCAAATATTTGAAATAAATGAATAATCTTAGATCATGCTAGAAGAAACCCCTCATAAACCAATTAAAGCAACTGAATCCACATAATTAAATCGATCTCTATAAAATTTACATTAAGAATAAAGAAAATAATATTTAATAAACAATTAATTGAATCACATTATTGCTAGTCCATTGTGAGGCTAAACCCACCCTCTCCCCCTTAATGTAGATAATATTGTTTGTTAAAAAAAAAATTCATTTGACAACTAATTTAATCACATTATTATCCACGTGTGAAAGACTTTTTTTATAACCGGCATTACACGCCTCTTAAGATGTTTTGAACGTGCTTAAAAATAGAGAAAATAATATTGAATGAACAGTTAATTGAATCACATTATTGCTAGCCTATTGTGAAGTACTAATTTAAAAAAAAACGTACAAAAAAATTAATTATTAAAAAAACACTGTTAAAATGATGAAAATACCCCTACTTACGCATGACTTACACGTTTTAAATATATTTATATGTGTCAATTGACAAAAGGAAAGTAAAATATTTGAAGTAAATGAATAATCTTAGATCATGCAAAAAGAAACCCCTCATATACCAATTAAAACAATTGAATTTACATAATAAAATTGGTCTCCATAGAATTTACATTAAGAATAAAGAAAATAATATTTAATAAACAATTGATTGAATTACATTATTGTTAACCCCATTATGAGACTAAGCCCACCTACCCTCCCTCTTAATGTAGATAATATCATTTGTTAAAAAAAAAATCATTTGATAACTAATTTAATCACATTATTATCCACATGTGAAAGACCTTTTTTTTTATAAACGGCATTAGACGCATCTTAAGATGTTTTGAATGTGTTTAAAAATAGAGAAAATAATATTTAATAAACAACTGATTGAATCACATTATTGCTAGTCCATTGTGAGACTAAGCCCACCCCCTCCCCCTTAGTGTAGATAATATCGTTTGTTAATAAAAAAAAATTATTTGACAACTAATTTAATCACATTATTATCCGCGTCCAAAAGACCTTTTTTATAACAGGCATTACACGCCTCTTAAAATGTTTTGAACGTGTTTTTGAAATAAATAACTGATTGAATATTATTGCTAGCCTATTATGAGACATTAATTAAAAAAAAACTTTACAAAAGAAATTAATTAATAAAAAAATACTATTAAAATGATGAAAATTTCTTTGTCTTATTTTATGTATTATTTTGGGCTGCATTTGAAATTTTTTGTCTTAGGGGCATTTTTGTCCAAAAATTTTTGTTGAAACTTGGTGACACCAAAAACACTATTGACCTTTAGTGTTGGCTTTATAATAGAAGATATGAACATGGTTGAATGGAGCAGCTAGTCCAAGTGCATTGTCAAGAGAATAGAGATGGTGGCCCACATTCTATGAATCTGTGACTTTCAATTCCTCGATCAATGCCTTTCACAAGCACTTCTCATATATGCCAAATCCACGTCTCTGTTGCTGTTAGTCAAGGCTTGTGATAGCATGCATGGCAATCTTCTCGTTGCAGTGCTTCATCAGCTGCAATGGGACAGCAGCTGCATCCACGCTTGTTGTTTTCACAGAATGGATTCAATAGACTTTGTCACTACCACCATCGTGTGTGGTTAATCTAAGAAGTTGGTTCTCCGAATCACTGCGGTGTCTTGTCACTACACGATGTGGTTCATCTAAGAAGTTGGTTCTCCGAATCACTGCAGTGTCTTGTCACTACCACCATCGTGTGTGGTTCAAATTAATAAAAATAATTTATTTTGTACACGTCTTCTTGTTTCATTTATTACGAGACTTTCGTGTTTACAAAGAGGATCCTATAATTTAATTGTCAACAAGGTCGCTGTATTATAGTTGTAAGTATTTACGCCTGTCAGTGGACCACTTGAGTTTGATCCATAATATAATTGGAGAATACAGTAGCGATACATATCATTACTTATTGCCACACTTCTTACACAAAGGAATAGAATTATTTAACAAATCGTAATTTTCTAAGCATACAAAGCCAAGTCTTGGACTCCACAGTAAGTTTTGAAAGCATACTGAGCTCTCTGGCCAGCCTCCGTGTAGTAGAACCCTAGAAATTCAACGTGATCAAAGGGCTTAAAAAGCAAAGGGTGCTCTTCATCCACAGCCTCCTGCGGGGCTTCTATAATGTAACCTTCCTTTGGGATGGAGAACAATCCAGTTGAGTACCTAGCCTCATTTCCATTCATCATCACTCTATGATATGGAGAATGTAGTCGACCGTTTGTCCATGCCTGCAAAATCATCAGCACAATGTTAACTTTGATTTCTTTGATTCTTTCACGACCGTTAGTATGTAAATCGAATGAGTAGGAAGTAACTCACGTAAAGAGAATCGCCAATCATGGCGATGAAAGAGTGCGGTAATGAAGGCTTGACTTTGATCCATTTGCCAGCTTTGGTTTGCACTTCTAAACGATCAACTTGGTTTTAATACAAAATGGTGACAATGTTCCTTGTCTGTGTGCGCGTTTATCCCCAACTTAGTTTCCTTGGTTTCAGGTCCTTTATATTTCATCACTCGAAGAAGGTAGTTGGAAGTATTTTTCAAGTCCCAAGCTCTCCAGACTCATCCTTCTGATTATTTGATCCAACTCCGAAACTTGCTCTGAGAATGATTGTATGGTTGTGCTGCCACCCAAAAAACAAAAATTACGAACTCCGAATATTTGATTATGAAATAAAGGGTAACAGTGTCTCTTGCCGGATGTCAGATATATCATTAGGTTAATAGAATGTTAATCTGAAATACACATTTATGTAAATCTGTCCCATTAGATAGACATTTTGGCAAAATAACATGTAGATTGTTTGATAAGATAATAACGCAAACTATGAAATTAATGTGCATATATGAGTACGAAAATATTAAAAAATTAGGAGAAAGGATTAATGTTATGAACCAAAATCTCGGGCTTCCTTGAGGCCACTATGTATTTGTCAAGCTTTCAACTTGTTCATAGACATTTGCATCGTCAAACCCCATGCTCTCGTATAGTGGCACCATGGGGTACTGCCCAACATACCCATGGTAGGGCTTTTTAGAAGCATTCTGTAATTTGGTTTGTGAAGGAAGGTCGAAAAGCTCTTCTATTGATTCAATTGTTGACTTTCAAATGTCTGAAGGCACTTTGTCGAACAAAGCCTCGAAGCAACCATACTCTTCGAGCGCATTACGGACTTGAGCTCTCACTAAGTCCCACTCTTTGGTTCCTTGATTGAGGTCTGGTTTGGAGAAGTCTATGATGGGAAGTCCGAGTGGGGTTTCTGATGCCATTGTGTATATATATACGCTGTTTTAATTTGGTTGATGGAGAGGAGGAAACTGGCAGCTTCGTTGAGTTTTAGATGAAGATTGAAATCTCGACTGGGCCTATGTATACAATTTAGATGGAGTGAAAGGGGGGCGGGGGGCAAAAACTTAAAATGTTAAAAGCTCTCTCCCTAAGTGAACATATCTTTAAAGAAATTACATGCACATGCGTTTAGATATTCTGGTCCAACCAGTGGCGGATCCAGGATTTGAACTTAGTGTAGTCCCAATATAAAAGCTCCAAAAATAAAAACAAGACGAAAATATCATTGAACAAATAAATGGCAAACTACAATTTTCATTCATGATCTTTGTGCTAAACAAGCTAGAAATACTAAATTTGTCCACGACGGAATCTCATACGTACTTTGAAAACGTGTCATGATAGTTTTATTGTCAATACAAGAAAAAACATCTTTCTCAATGTAAATAACTAAGCTATCATTTAACCATTGATCCCCCATTCTGTTGTGGAATGGACTCTTTATGATATTCATGGCGGAAAATGCTCTCTCCACTGAAGCAGTTGCAATAGGTAAAACCAAAGCCAATTCAATAAGTAAATACATATTGAAATACTCGATGCAACCTTTTTTCCACAATTTTCTTAGCAAGATCACTAATGCTTTGCAACAAAGAAAAGTCACTTCTCGAACGCATAGAATGAATATAAATATCGAGTTGATCTTTAAGTGCCAATAGGTCTTGCTTCGTAAAATCTTGAGGGTACAATTGAGCAAGGCGAAGTAGCTTTTCTTTGTCAAAAGCTACAAAAGAATCATTTGGACTCAAACTAGCCAAACAAATGAGCAATTCGGTACTTGTTTCATTGAAGCGATCATTTAACTCTATAAGCTGGGAATCAATGACAACAAAAAAGAGCTCCACTTTGTAACGATGATGGTTGGTCTTTTTGTGGGTATTACGACGCGACCTCCTATGAGCTACATATGTCTCATCCATGTTAATAACCTCAATATGATGTTGGACACAAAATGACAATACTTTGTCAACCAAAAAGTCAAACCCCTCATCATTCCTCATTCGTGATTCCCAATATAGATTTCATCAAAAATAGGAGAAACATAAACTGAAAAGATTGTATGTCTTTCAATAACCTATTTGCTTCAGCCACACTATCATTGGTATTATCATCAACAATCATTTCAAGCACATTGACCACAGATGAGAACACAGTAATCAAACTAATCAAAGTCCCATAATGTGAATTCCATCTTGTAGCTCCGGCACGTTTGAGACTAGTTTCTTGATTTAAGCCTCGTCCTGTAATAAAAGAATCATTTTCAAGAGCTTTCATAAGTTCTTTTTGTTGCATCTATCTAAGTGCATCACGACGCTTACATGAAGCTCCAATATTATTTACCACATTATTAGCCAATAGGAAGAATGTGTTAACATCAACATTATCCTTTGCTACGGCAACAAGAGCTAATTGGAGTTGATGAGCAAAGCAATGAACATAGAATGCACAAGTTTGATCATTCAAAATCTTTGTCTTGAGTCTATTGAACTCACCTTTCATATTACTAGCACTATCATAACCTTGCCCTCGTAAATTGGAGAAGCTCAACTCATTGAAATGAATGAAGGCATCAATAGACTCCTTTAGTGTGTTTGAAGTGGTGTCGGGAACATGTTGAACTCCTACAAACCTTTCAATGACTCCCATTTTTGTCCACATAACGCAAAACCACCGCCATTGGCTCCTTTATAGAAACATCATGTGCCTCATCAACCAATAGAGAAAAGAACCTAGCATTCTTCATATCACTTATGATAGTTTTAATGGTTTCAATAGAACATGAATGAACAAGATCTTTTTTAATTAAAGGAGCTATTAGCTTGAGATTTCCCGGAGCTTTATCTAACACAACAGCCTTTATTTTCTCATCATGGTCCGCAAGGAATTGCAAGAGCTCCAAATAGTTACCTCTATTGTTCGAAGTGTCACTTTCATCATGACCATGAAATGAAAGACCTTGTCGCAACAAAAACTTATTGCAATCAATTGACGCATTCAAGCAAGTGCAATAAGCCATACAAGCTTCTTCTGACTATTTGACCACAACTATTTCAATATGTGTCTTTTGATTCATTAGATTACCAGCAGCTTCAACAGCTTTATTATGAAAGCTACCAACCATTCCCATATGTTTTTCAAAACAGGCTCTTGCGTGCTTCCAATTTTGAAAGCCTACCTCAGTAAAGACGTCACTTCCTGATTGTTCAAAGTTGACTTTGAATAGATAGCAATAAAAGAAAAATGCAGCATCTTTAGATATACTATATTCCAACCAATGAAATTCCTTCAACCAATTATCAACGAACCGTCGCTTTTTATTCGAATGCAAAGTGAATGGAAAATCATGATCTTTAACTCTAAAAGGCTCCATCAATATATATGCTCTTCGGACCTCATCTTAAATATCTGGAGGATAATCCATCATTAGAATCCTCTTTCCGGGGTCTCTCTCAAGATTATTCAAATCAACTTTTAACTCATTTTGTTGTGGAGTAGAGTTACCCCCAATTGGATTAGAACTACTTGGAATTGGAGGGGAATTGTTCGGAATAGGATTGGAACTATCCAAGTTTGGAGATGAACTATTTGGAATATGATTGTCTGAACTAATCGATGATGATTTTCGCTTGTAATACCGTTCCATACTTCTAATTTCTACACATATCAATTAATAAAAAAATCTATATCAATTGATGAAACTACAAAAAATATTATATGAAAAGAAATCAGATTCATTTATAAATTTATAATTAGGTTTGTGCCCGTGGGATTCTAATATTATGAATGCCAAAGACAAAGAGATGCATGCCACAAATAGACTGCCATCACTTCAAAGAAACATTAAAAGTTTAATTCATCACCAGATTCACCACCAAATATTAAAAATAAAAATACTTCTTAAACAAAATATCTAACACCACAAATAAATCAAATAGTGGATGGTAAAATTATTTAAATATCGAACACCAAAAATAATTTAATATCAAATAGTGGATGACAAAATTATTTAATGGATAGAGTCAAAGAAAGTACAAACTTCTTCAACCAAGAAGAAGAGGACCAGAGGTTAGCCTCCAAACCAGAGCTTTACACGGAGAAAAAATGCTCAAAACGACGTCGTTTTGCCAAGTCATTGTGCAGCATCACATGTTGCGCATCACTGGTGCAGCATCACTTGTGCAACATCACTAACATGGGTGGTCCTTGAAGATCTTCACAGCCATTTTTCCGAGCTTCGAGTGATCCTGGGACCACCCTGGTCCCTTAATAGATCCACCCCTAGGTCCAATCATTGCCGATTCGCCAAAACTGTTGATACTGTCTAAATCTCTTTTGAATTTCAGACAAATCCGGGAAAAGTATTGCTTCCCTCCTTTCGAAAACCTTAACCCCATTTTATAGGTATTAATTTCAACAGATCTTTCATCAATTTCAGGGAAAGAAAGACTTTGATTAAAATTTCATATAATAGGTTCATACGTTCCTTCTCTATATTTCACTCGAAGAATAAGTGTAACATTTGTGATAATTGTTAAGTTTTTCTCTAGGACCACATCCAGATAAACATTCATGTGTTGTTATTTGAACTACATTTACTGTTACATTGTTGATCACCTCTTTAACATATGTGAGTTCTACATTTATCAGTTAATACAGGACAAATAACATTCACATTACATTATCAATTAAGTTCGTATGCTATGTTGCGTGCAAATCAATAGTTCATGATTAGGTAAAGTGTGTGTTGTCCTCTCAATTATGTTCACTATAATTGATATATCATATTTTCCGAGAATAAAATATTTTATAATATACATATATTATTTATAAATAAAGGTACGCATTTTTCTTTCACAAATAGCACTGTAGGACAAAATAAACTATACAAATATTTAACAAAATATCCATTTATTCAGTTTGTTTGTTTGTTTGTTTGTTTGTTAATCTTTTCAGAACAATTCAATTTGTGGTCCTCGCTTCCAATTATGTTGTATTTGTTTGTGTGTTTAATTAATGAGTAATGTTAGAAGATCATCTATTTAAACTATATGTATTATAACTTATATGAAGTGGTTATTGATGACTGAATTATTATTTAAGTATTTATTAACGAGCTTATTTTTACTGTTTAGACCAAATTATGTTAACCATATGATTTGATTGTTGAAAATTGGATTATTACTTAAGTATTGACTAACGTGTTTATTTCCTATTGATGACACATCACATGGTTTACAAATTTAGTCTAAAAATTTTGGTCAGCCGTTTTACTCGGTTTGCAAATGTGATTTAAAAAGTTGATCTACCTAACATTATTGTTAATTTTTTTTTGTCCAATTAAACAAAAGTTAGATTATTTTCTAGGGTGCAGAATACAAGAGTTTCAGTTTCAAGTAGTAGTATTAATCACATAAAGAGAATGAAGGACGCATTGTTAAATGTTAAAGCCGTACTAATCATATAACATTTTCTTATACAATTGGTAACAGTGGAATTAAAAACGAGAAGAAAATTCGGATACAATCTTCTCACCATGTCTAGAATATTGATGGTCCATACACGACGCATGTGGTTGGACAGCAATTTGTTAATTTCAGCTACTATATAACTACAAAAGCAATCGACTAGTATTACGATGGTTAGTGTTATTTCTTTTCACTTCTAGTAAGAAGTCTCGGTTTCGATTCATATAAATAACAAGAACGTATTATATTTGTCGTGAGTTCGATACCTAATTAGTAACAGGCTCATTGTGTGATCTAACCTAACCTCTACTCTTCTTAGAGTAGAATATCATTTAATAAAAAAAAATCTTAAAAAAATTCTAAGGTAAAATTATCACAGCTGATGGAGGGAATTATCAAAAGTGATGATGCCTAGCATATATAAATTTAATAATTAAATTGTTGGTACAATACTTGAAAAAAAAAAGAGTTAGTACAATAAATTATTTAAGGATAAACTACCTCAATTATGCGTCAAACCACAATTTCATACATAATGTTTTGAACATTATAATGTTATACCTCAATTTACGAAATTGTTGCAATGTCAAACATTTTTTAATTTTTTGTCAATTTGACTATTAAATGAGGTGGGAGAAGCAGGGCACACTCCTTTACCAATTGAAATAAAATATTAATTAATTAATATTAAATTATTCATTTTTTTTAACAATTAAAATTAATTAAAAATTAAAACCCTCTCCCTCCTTCCTGCCCAAACGCCAACCCCATTATTCGTCCCTTTCTTTCTCCCCAAAACTTTCTCACCTCAAAAACCAGTATCTCCTTCAATCTTCCATGCCCATTTCCTCAAAAATCAGCATCTCCTTCGATCTTCTATTCCCATATCCCCAATCTCAGCTGAATAGCTAATCATGGGCTGCACCCAGTCGAAGATCGAGAACGAAGAAGCGGTCTCCCGTTGCAAAGATCGCAAGCTCTTCATGAAAGAAGCAGTGTCGTATCATAACGTCTTCATCGCCGCCCACTCATCCTACGCCATCTACAACACCGTCACCGCCTTAAGCGACTAAGCCCAGGGCGCGGTGGTGGCCCCCACACCCGGCCCATTTACAGTCCCACCACCCGATTTAACCTCCGCCGCAGCTGTCGTAGGCGTCCCCACCCCGCTTCCTTTTGTGGATAATTTTCCTCCGCCGCTCCCTAGCATCTCCAGCTACACTCTACAGCGCGCCGCCATCATGCTCTAGATCAAACTCGACGCAAAGGTCATTGATGTACTGCTTTTGATTCGCATGAAGGTTCATGACCTCATAGTGATGCTGCAAAACTCAATAAATAAATAGTTGTTAAAATTTATAATAATTTGTATACCTTAATAAAACTTTAGTATTTGAGGTTGAAAATACTTATCGATAATTCATGAAGAACGGCTTCATTGACTTCAGTTGGGACAACTTTCCAGGACTCCCACAGGAGGGGGCAATGATTCCTCATAACCGACCCAATGTTGCTGGGCAACACACTGTGCTACTTTTTTGTTGCAATCGCACGATGTCGAGGATCCCACGTAATGGTGATCTTCTTGGTCGTGGTGTGAGTGGTCTATGACGTCTTCAGAAGTCTGCATGGGTCCCTGGTTTGTTTTTGTTTTTTTTTTTTTTTTTGAACTACCAAATAAACAAACTAAACATTAGACGAATTCTATTTTCTACCAAAAATTCGGTAGAACCTCCCCTAAAACTATAACATTTCCTAAAATCGGCAGACAATATAACAACAACAACAACACGTTCACCCAACAATTCAAACAGTTTATACCCATTGGGGACTTTGAAAGAAAGTTTACAACTTGTATCAAGTGTTTTCACTTCTAATTGCTTAATTGGCCGTGAATTTGTGAAGAAACTACACACATATTGGATTGCACATGTAATTATGTAAGTTGAGAATAATATCGATGTGAGTAGTCTCGTCTATTTGAAATTTTAACACACCATATTCATACCTTGAAAAATGTACTAAAGATTTTCACTAATGAGAAAATCAAAGAATAAGAAAGATAACCTTTTAAGGGTGTAACCAAAGAATTTATCAACCAACTTTTCCTAAAGAAGATTGGGGATCTTTTGTCATCCACCAACATATTTTAGTATCCTCCTTGACAATATGTTGTAACTAATGACTTTTTATGAACCTACCTGAAAAACCAAATTATCTAAAAGTTCAATTTTCACAACAACTAAAACAATGGTTCAAAATTTCAATTATACTATGCGAAAGTTGCGTTACCTGTTTGGGACCCCTCTCCATGGACAGAGGAAGCCTCAGCAGACTCTTAGCCTCCTCAAAACTCTGAGGTCGTCAATGAGTCCACCGGGCACTTAGTACATGATATGTCACTGAAGAAGTCGATGACGCATGAGCCGTAGACACTGTTGGCCCCAAAGGCGTGACCGGAGGGACATCCGTCGTGCCCTTATCAGGTGGGGAGGTGGCAACAGCACTACCTACTAGAAAAGGTGTTTGACTGACCCTACTAGCTACCCTATGGTTTGAAATTAAGTTCGACATCTACAAAAATAATTAATAAAAAAGTTACATTCCACTACTTTAATCTGGTTTGGATATACTAAAAAATATCCTAACCTTGAAGCAAAATAAGATATATCTTTAATTTCATTAATACCATTAAAGAAGGAATCAAATTATCAAATTACCCATACACGTGCAAAATATACATTCATGCACAATAGGAACATCTATAGTTTCCTACTTGCCTATATATATAACCTATTTATGCAAACCTATATGATAAACATGAAAAAGAAAGGTTAAAAGGACAAAACATGTAGATGCAGGGAAACGCTACATTCAACCTTAGACAAGGTTTGCCTTATCGGTTAGTTGAACTGATGAGCTCTTCCAGAACAAGGAAGCATGCAGTCAATAAACCTTGTATTGAAAAACAGTTTGCAAGACAATGCAACTTGTAAGGAATCGGTGTAATATGGAAGAAGGCAAGCATGTACTTATTCTGGCTGAAAGTAAGGATGAATGTGTGTGTGTGTGTGTGTGTGTGTGTGTGTACTTATGTATCATATTCATGACTCGGATGACTCGGACAAAGGGAGTGGCGGACAACCCACATCTCCACATATGAATAAAGTTTTGTTTAGCAGTTGTAGAAAAAGTTTGAATAAGAAAAAACAATCATGAATTTTTGACACGATTGCAGTTAATACATACTTGATCATGCAAATCACTCAAAATCTGATATCTCATAGTAAGAACAGCAGTAATGCACCTAGTTTTCTTTAGCCTTGGAGATAAAGAAAAGCCGGCACTTGATAAAGTGCGGCAGACAAAAATATTGAATCGCAGTTACACTTGCATTGCAGAAACGAACAACCACAAATGCTTATATTCTAAGAAAAGATGACATGAGGTTGATGGTTCAAATAAAACTCAAATAAGCTGTTGAACTCAACCGCATTGGGAGCCGTAATCTTAGTTGCGGTCCAACATTATACTATTAAGAGAAAGAGAGAATGCACCAACCTCAGAGCGATATTGATTCCGATAACTAAGGTGGCTTCACTCAAGTTTCACCTCTCTTGTCGGGGGATCCAGCTGCATATATGTAAATGGCTCTGTTGGTTCCTCCCTACAGAACAACACAAATGCTTCATAAATCACAGAAAGCAGCGTAACCTGTATAGAATTATGTAACTGATGCAGCATTACATATATAATTATAAATAAATAAATAAATAAATAAATACATACATACATACATACATACATATATATATATATATATATATATATATATATATATATATATATATATATATATATATAAAGAACCCTCAAATCATGGCGTTCTTATTGTCAATTTTGGTAGTTTTAATCAAGGAATGGAGAAAGCACCATTGGGATTTTTGTAATTAAGTTTTTGTTTAGTTCATAATCACTGATGACTTACAAAGCCTTGGCTCTATTATTATATGATTCGGTTCCTTCTTTGAGTAGTCCGTTATTATTTATTTAGCTTTATCATTTCTTAATTGAAAAAGAAAAATCAAATTTATGATCTCTTCCAACATTCGAAAGAAAAAGAAATATACTAAGAGCTAGTTAGTAAACATGCGTAAAAAAACCTTGAACAATGTTTAGTTGGTAAAGACAGTAGAAAATAATTCCAAATTTTGTTGAACTCCTAATAAATCTATGTACTCTATATACAACAAAAGAAATCATTGGTCGAATGAGAAGACATTAAATCTATGTTTGATAAAATGAAGACATGTATATCTACTCAACAAAAATGCAGACCTCAAGTGTGAATTTCAAGCCAGCCAGCAAATAGGAAAGAAAAGATGTCACGCATGATGATGTAGATCTTTTTATGTCGAAGGAAGCCTTGAGAGGAAAGCATGCTTAAGATAATTGGATTACTACTAATTATGCATATAAACAGGAGTTTATATCATCACCTTATTTTATTTTCAAGGTCAATATTCAATAATATGCAAAAGCTAAAAACAACTGTGATTTTCAAGCCCTTAACCTGCATTATTTGCCAACTACAACTGTGATTTTCAAGCCCTTAACAAAACAGAGGGGAGGGGAGGGGAGGGTGGGTTTCTTAGGGATAGGAGATGTTCCTCATCATTTACCACATACAACTGTGATTTTCAAGCCTTTAACCTCGTGTTTTTTACTAATTGTCCCTTGGATCTCAACCATTACTTTGTGATTAAACCACCTAATACAGAAGGGACAACCTTTAACCTACTTCCATATAAAGCAACTAGATTTACCATTTTTCCTGACTCCCATCGAAAAAGAAAAAAAAAAACTATAGAAAAATTAAACATCAAATTCGAGAACATACGTCCAAATCCATTCACAAAAAAAAATCCACCTAAAAATACAAAAAAAAAACTATATCTTCAAAGGTTATTGATAAATATGATATACAGATTAGAGAGTAAAGGCCAATATGACCTGTTTGTAACGTCCTGAAATATTAAAATCCGGTTGAGCAAAAATGAACTCATCATATGCATTGATAGATTACAATTTTTCCAGATAAAGGACCAAAGTTGATTCCCAATTCGATATCCATTTTTGTTTATAACAAAAAAATGAAAAAGAAAAATACAAACCCCGGATACCCAATTCCAAAACTATCACCCAATATTATCAACTCGAAAACTATAACCTAATATTCTCAATTCGAAAACCCTAACCCAAGATTCCCCATTCGAACCCTAAATCCCTAACCCAGGATTCCCAATTCGAACCCTAAATCCCTAAATGTTCTAATTAAACCAATTAAACATAAAAAATGAAAAATTGCACTAATAAATAATTGAATTAAGGGATAGTGAATTAAGGAATACTAGGTGCTTACCTAGTAATGTTGCGGCGGCGGGCAGATGGTGTGGCGTCGGAGTGCCACGTATGTAAGAGGGAAAGTGATAGGGAGACAAAGAAAAACAGAGGGAGCAAGAGGGAGAGAGGTAGACATTGAGATAGCATACACAGATGAGAGCGAGAGCTGGACATAAGAGAGAGAGAGAGGAGAGTGAGTTCAGACAGAATTGCATGCAGAGAATGAGAGAGAGAGTGAGTATGAGATCGAGATAGATAGAGTGAAGCTAGGTGCCGAAATAAAAACGCACTTAATTTTGGCAAAAAAAATCAAATTTTTACATGATTGCGCGACGACGGTGTTCAAATTTTCGTCGCGCAACCAGTTTTTAAATTAAAAAAATGAATTTTTAAATATCTATGCTACAAACATTTCTAACACGTTGTCGCACATTTTGTAAATTTAATTTATTTTTTTGTTGAAATAAATAAATAAATTTTTTTTGGTTAATTTATTTTTTGCAAATTTTAAAGGAAACTTTTGTTTTTATACAAAATAAATACCATTCAATAAATATCATTACATTTACATAACAAGTTTTCATTAATCCTTGTCTGAACTAGAATAAATATCATCACTATTGTTATTCAGACTCCCATTCTTTCTCATATGTAGGCACGTCAACATCGTCATTCGCGCGCTCGGGTGCATTGTATTGCGGTAGATCCCCGAGGTCAATCATAGTGGAGTCGATCGGTATTTCGATTGCAGGACCTTCGGCTACCTACCTGATACAGTTCTTGTACAATAGTCATATCCCGCAGTGTATCTGCACCAAGTTCCGTTGAAGTCCTCAATTGTTGGTTAGCAACGTCACCATAATCGTCATCGTTAGCAGGATCTCAATCCGGAATATCATACAACCCTATGTGCTCAATCTTCTAAACTACTTTCCATCCCCTCTCGGGCTTAGGGTCATTTATATAGAAAATTTGTTTGGCCATCGTTGCCAAAATGTAGGGGTCGTCATTATACCAACATCTATTAGTGTTGATCGAAAGAAAACCATCATCTCACTTAACACCTCCAACCCTATGTGGATTTGTATCAAACCAGCAACACTTAAATAGGATAACTTGACAGCGGTCTTTGTAAAGCAATTGCACATCACTTGTCAGTTTTTCATATAAATCAATGTCTACAATGTTGCCCCCACCCGAGACATGTACCCCACTATTTTGTGTACACAACTTGTCATCTTGATCAGTTGCCAAAAACTTGATGCCATTTACATGACAACTGGAGTACAATTCTGCGCTTAGGGGCCCAATCTCCAAGTTGTACAATTCTTCAGTGTAAGTGGGCAAATTCATGTCCTTCAATTTCTTCACCTAAATTAAAGATAAAAAGTTGACATGTTAGCTTACCATTTAAAATTATGCAAATAACCCAAAACACGAACAACTTACATTTTCACGAAACCAGTGAGGAAACAATTCAGGTGCTTCTTGGCATATAAATGTGCAGGATGTTCCTGCTTCATCAACTCTTCATGCTCATCTAGGTAGGTAATTGCCTCATTACAATTGTTAAGTACAAACCAATGTGCTACCTCAATGTCCATTTTGTTAAACGACTCCCCTCGGATTGGTTCGCCAAAGGGTTGTGCAATTTGGGAAAAAAACATAAAGTATTTCACTTCTCACACCACCATCATTATTGCGTTGATGTCAATTGAACGCAGTCTCAATGTCTTGTAGGTACATTGTACAAAATGTAAGCGACTCAATGCGACCCATGCCTCCACGATCAATCATTCGAGCTTTGCCCTGTTTCGTACACTTTTTTTTTAATTCACCCAGTAGTCTGCATCAATAAACAAAATAACGTGTGAAATTAGTCAAATCATACATACATCTCGAACTAAAGGAATTATGGTGATTGTCTACCTTTTTATCGGATACATCAATCGATAGTTGATGGGTTCGACTAAAAGTGCCTTATCCGGCAAGTGAATCATGACGTTGATCATGCTTGTGAAGAAAGCTGGAGGAAATATTTGTTCAGACTTGCATAACACTTTAATAATATCGTCGCACAACTGTCTAACATTGGACTTGCGCAAAGATATTGCAATTCATTGAGAAAAATATCTTGCCCACAACATAATCAACTTCACCACATCTTCAGGCAAAAGGTGTCAAATTCCCACTAGGAGAAGGCGTTGAAGTATCACATGACAATCATGAATCTTGAGGCCTAAAATTTTGCCTCCATCCCCGTTTGCGTAACTGTCGATGTTTGAAGCATACCCATCCGAAAACTGTACAGAAGATAGAAACTCCAAAAACTCTTTCCTCTTATCAGGTTTCATCGAAACGATGCAAGCTTCTTTCTGGCTATGTCTCCATCCCTTGTCATCCATAAACATGGCCTAATGCTCATTTTTTCCAGATCGATCCAAGCTTTTATTGTGTCCTTTGTTTTTCCCTTAATGTCTAGTATAGTTCCGATCAATGTATCAAACACATTTTTCTCAACATGCATTACATCAATGTTGTGTCTCAATTTTAATTTGGACCAGTACGGGAACTTGAACAACCTCGTCTTATGTGTCCAGTTCAGATGTGAGTCTGGTCTTGTCATATTTACGGATTTTCCCAACGGAGCAAAATCTAAATGATTCACCTGAGCTAAAATTTCATCTCCATACCATTATCTGGATCTTGGCTGAAGCTCTGTGCCGTTGAAGAAAGCTGGCTCACTCTGATGCCACTCATGGTCCCACGACAACCATCTATGATTACCTAGAACGCCACTCATGGTCCCACGACAAACTTTCCCCGCGTGCCAACTAGATGTTGTGTTCTCTTTGCAAACTGGGCATGCGTAAGAACCTTTAGTGCTCCACCTAGACATCATATCGTACGCAGGAAAATCGTTTATAGTCCACATCACTACTACTCTCAAAGTGAACATCTTCCCGGTAGATTTATCGTACGTGGGAACACCATTTTCCCATAATTCGTTTAGTTTATCGACCAATGGTTATAAATAAACATCAATATACGTGCCCGGATCTTCTGTTATCAACAATGTCATCATCATATATTCTTTTTTCTTGCACTTCCAATGTGGCAAATTATATGGAATTGCGAAAATTGGTCTAGTGCTATGATTTTGGTTTAGAACCCCAAATGGATTAAACCCGTCTGTCGTAAGTCCCAATCTAACGTTTCGGGGCTCACGTGCAAAATCGGGGTACAGCTGATCAAACTCTTTCCAGGCCTCTCCATCTGCAGGATGTCTCATCACATCATCATCCACTCGTATGTTCTTATGCCACCTCATGTCGCTTGCAGTGTGCATCGACATATACAATTGCTGCAACCTAGGCTTTAATGGGAGATAACACATTACTTTTTATTGAATCTTCGTTGTTCTATTCTGAGTGGTCATTTTAAACCGTGACTCGGTACATACAGGGCATTTATCCAATGCTTTATTCTTTTTGTAGAATAAAATGCAATTATTTTTACACCCATGAATGTTTTCATATCCCAATCCAAGACTACTTAGCACCTTCTTTGCACTTTTATGATATGTAGACATGCAATTGTCCTTTGGTAGCATCCTCGTGAAAACCCCAAAAAAGTAATCAAAACACTGGTTCGACATACAAAACTTTATTTTGTCATGCATCAACTTAACAATGGCCGTGAGCACCGAAAATCCTTCACAACTAGGTATAATTCTTTCTTGGCACTTTTTAATAGTTTTTCATATTTTTCAAATGCTTCACTGTTTATGGTGGGAGGGACGTCATCTTCTACTTCCTTATTCGTATTCGAACTAGCGTTTGGAAAAACATCATTGATAATGTTCTCAATTTCTTCATTTGGGTCCACAACAGATTTAATTGTCTTCACTGCTCGAGTACTGTGTGAGGATGAAGCATGTTGTATTTGTTCTCCATGATGATTTCACGTAGTATAAGTCTCCATCATCCCATTTCTGACTAAATGGTGTCGAACATTTTCAAAATATCCACGTAGTACAAGTCTCCATTGAGTTGTTACACTTTCTACAAGAACACCAAATTTGAGTTGAACCCCGGTTGTTTGCAATTGCATATCCATTGTTTGTCCATATCACCCACAAGCATAAAAATTTACAAGGGTTACAACAACTTCAATTATGACATGCCACCTTATGCCTCCGTCATGGGTCCTATCTCATTCAAGAATGCACAGTTACGTGTTGTAATTTATGATTCCAACATATTAAAGTTCGAACGTGGAAAAACTTTGGTAGCATCTCTGTGCAATTCTTCAAGTGCATGACATAGATACAAAAAACTACGATGCACCCGAAGAACGCAAAGAGATGCTACCAAATTTTCCACGTTCAAACTTTAATGCGTGAACTGCAAACTACAACATGTAACTGTGCATTCTCAAAATGTCCAAAATTTTGGCACAATTCAAGAATTAATTGGACCGCAGTAATGTTTTCGCATCCATTCGCGAAATCCAACTAATTCTCAAACGAGAAACTAAGCTCATATGTACATTGCAAACCATTTGTTTGTACATCCATACAAAAATGTTTGCATACAAGTACATAAACTCACAACAAGTATACACTACGCACAACACAATTTAAATGATTGAAAATTAAATAAGCTAGTTAAGAAAATATACCTTTGAGATTAACGACAATAATGCATTCAATGCTGCTTGAAATTGCAACAGGAAGGCAGTTGTTGCAATTGTTTTGCAGCTTCTACCTTCTTGCATTCTAGTTAAATTCAGTACAGTGAAAAGACTTTGTGTGATGAAAACATCGTCGTGCAAAACATGCTGCTTCCACTTTTGGCACCATCCAAGCACTGTTTTCCGGGTTTGTTATAACACTTTGCGCGACGAAAGCACCGTCGTGCAAAACATGCTGCTTCCACATTTGGTGCCATCCAACCACTCTTTGCCGCATTTTTTTTACCACTTTGCACAACGGAGCATTGTTCGTCACGTATTACCTTCTTTAAAAAAAAAAATTTTCTTTTTAAAAAAAAAAATTGAATTTTTCCCTTCACTCTAGAATTTTTTTTTTCAAACCACATAATTACTTAATAAATCAAAAACTTATTTCATTACACTATTTGTGCGTAATTAAGTAATATAAATATTTATTAAAATGCATTAATTTTATTAAAAAAAAACATGAAGTACAAGTTTAAGTAAATCTTTCAAAATAAAATACTTCTAATTCATTTCTCATTATTAAATAATCACTAAATTTAAAATATATATAAAAAAAAAAAAACTATTCTACTCC